TGAGTCATGTCCTTAGTGCCGAATAAATAATTCTAGCCACAGCTGTAGCAAAGTAAAAAGATAGGTTAGGGCATTTCTAGCACGCAAGAGCGCTCTTAGATTCCGGATCGCAAATAAACTTTATATCAGAGTACTTAGCACAACGCTTACGTCTACGTCGTAAAGATGTGTGATTGAAAATTGTCACAGCGTAATATACTGCTTCGAACATCAAAAACAAAGTCTACACATCGGCTCAACCGCGATTGAATTTTCATACATTTGGTCCTGATTTTTGGATTTTGAGTTCTACCTCTATATACCAACCTGATCAGAAGATTCACTCCTCACTGAGGATGTTCTATGCTGCAATGCAAATCTTGTGTGATTCGGCGGCCTTCAATTCGTTATCGAAACTTTGGATGACGCGCAGATTGTTGTTGTTCGTCCCCTGCAGTTGGGGCATGCTTAACCCTAGATTGTGGCTGATGATGCTGAGTAGAAGCGACCCTGCCACGCCTATCGATTTGTTGATTGTGGCCGAAGAGAGGAATGTGACGAGGTGTATCCCGTTTGTAGTAATCTCTGGACCATCGTCTGTGCTAACCTTGGCAGCACTCTCGTTGATAATGATAATACCGTCATCGACTTTTGTGGGCGCAAAGGAGCATAGTAAAACCAATTAATGCCTATTTTGGCCAAGATGTCTTGATAAACAAAATGTTTTTTCATGCAAAAACTTAATTTTCGTCCGATCATTCCTATGGCGGCAAAATGATATAGTGGTCCGACATATCTGGTTTTGACAAATGTGCTGCGTTTCATTAAAATAGCTTTAAACTGATGGACAAGTTCGCATAGATACAGGTAGACGGACATGGCTATATCGACAGGGCTGTTGATGCTGATCAAGAATCTATATACTTGGGGTCGGAGATTTCTCCTTCTATGCGTTCGCATTTCACGAAAAAATTATAATACCCTCTGCAAAGTTATAAAAAAAATATTAAGTAAAGTTATAAAAAAAATATTAAGTGTGTTTGTGCATAATTGGCAACACTATCGGTTTGATTGTTCAACGTTCCGTATTCATTACTGCAAGGTAACACTGAACTTGTGAGTTTAACAGTTTTACAGAAGTTTGGACCATAGGTAATTTCTATTTCTCTTCCGCTATTCTTCCGCTTCCCTTCTTTGCTATTGGGATCGAGTGGATGGACAACAACAATTTGTCTTACAATTGACTGTGACCAAATATTATTGTGCTCTTTAATTCGATTTATACATTTGGTCAGCAAGTGATCATTATTGCAAGGTAACACTGTTCTTATGAGTTATGCAACAACTGAAGCTTGGGTCGTTATATAGTTAGTTTGAGCATTGTCGCTGATTTTCTGCAGCTGCTGTTGCTAAGCAGAATTGGAGAATTCTGCTTCCCTGTTTCACTGATAGTTATCATATAAGCGGTTAGGTCCGCGTATAAAAATAAAACAATTTCAGTCAATGACATACAACTTCTATGTAGACTGGAGTTACTTTAAGGGTATTTTGAAAAGATAATGGATATACAAGCTGACGTCCATATATTGAACCCTAGCAACGATTCTAGGCCAACAGTGGAAGAAGTGTGTATTTCTACAAAGGATTTATATTAATCGGCTATTAAGAAGGAAGAACGTCCTAGTCATCACGATTTAGCAGCGTCATTCAGTTATCATCATACGCTACAGTTTCCCAAAATGCGATAGTCAAAGTTCGGTGGAAAGCATTCAGAATTTAAAAACTTAATTTGTCTTTTTTAAAGTCTGCTGCACAATGATTCCACACTGTCCAATGTCGATTAATTTAACCATTTAATTGCTTGTCTGCTGAGGCGTTAGGAACAGTAAAGGCATTTCAAATCATAGACGGTTTCTCAACTATCTGAAATTCCTAACATGACAAAACCTTCGAACTTAAGTCTTAGTCACCATATTGGCATTATATTCGTCTCTGCAGTTTCTAGGCGATGACAAGGATATTGTAAGTGCAGTGTTAATGCACATGGCAATGTCAACAGTAGAACAGGCCACAAAATCTCGATTCGAGGAACAGCTTGACTATGATAGTTTGCCATCTTGATTAGATTGCGCTGCTCAATTGAATCGGCACTATTAAGATTTACTGCCGAAGATTCAACTAGTGGCGAAACGAAACCAAGGCATGAGGCTAAAAAGAGACATAACAGGTCATCGTTTTCGTAATCTAAGGGTGATCAGAAAACAGGTACCAAATGAAGCGAATGTTCGGTCGCTGATAGTCTCGCAAACTGTTTGGCGCTATACCTGTTTATCAACGCTTTAGGTTTGTGAAGCAACACAACTTGTGCATCAACTGTTTAAATCAGGAGCATACAGTAAAAAAGTGTGGAGGATCGAAACAGCTTCTCCACAGCAACAGGCTTATGTAAGTCATGTCCTTAGTGCCAAACAAGTAATCCTATCCAGAGCTGTAGCAAAGTTAAAAGATAAGTTAGGGCATTTCTAGCCCGCGATCGCGCTTTTAGATTCCGGATCGCAAGTAAACTTTATATCAGAGGACTTAGCACAACGATTACGTCTACGTCGTGATGATGCGTGATTGAAAATTGTCACAGTGCTTTGAGCATCAAAAAAAAAGTCTACACAGCGGCTCAACCGCGATTGAATTTTCATACTTTGGTAGCTGATTTTTGGATTTGGGATATATACCAACCTGATTAGAAGATTCACTCCTCACAGTGGAATATACCTCCAAACATTGAACTGGCCGACCTCCGATTCCCCAAACCTGCAAAAGTGGACTTGCTTTTAGGTGCTGGAAAGCTTTTCGACCTGCTTTGTGTTGGCCAAATAAACATGTCTCCTCAACATCTGATTCAAAAAACATTTTTAGGATGGGCCGTGTCGAAAGGCACATCATCGCAAGCACAAATTGGCACTGTCGCAATTGATTTCGGGACTAAGAACAGACTCAGAGGATTCGAAAGCTGCATATACAAGTTATTTGATTTCTCAATTGCAGATGTTGTATATTCAGTTTCTCGTCACAAGTGCTAAGATTGGCAAGGTTATATTCCTTGTAGATTATATTCGGAATGCAACTAGCTTTCCAAATCACTGGCCTTGTGGCTCAACAATGAAACAATTAGTATAACGGATTGATGACGGCAAGTGCCTAAGAACTACATTTGAAGATGTTGTTCTTACAAAGTTGGATACAAAACTAAACTAGAATTTAAATATAGAATTGGATCTGAGCATACGCCAACACTGTCGCTTGCGACATAGGCAAGTGTCAGGTTACCGCTGAACCCAAGAAATCTAAGCTTCTTGCCATTCAGTGGTGCACTTTAACTATGGACAATAGATTTCTGATATGCTCTGTATCCACGCCTAACAGTTTTCGCATGCTCGACTGAGGGAATAATTGGTTAATTTGACTGCTGCATCTGCTATGCTAATGATGGCTGTTTAATTGCTTGAGTGCTTCAGAAAATCACATTGCTCCCATACCAGTACCTTTCCGTCGATTGCCGGGACATAGTGGGAGTGGGAGTAGTCGATAATCCGACCATGTATTACTCCTAACACTAGTAGGTTTGCAAGTCCAATCCCGTAAAAATAAAAGAACCAAAGAAGGGTAATTGTTGTGCGCTTGAACTCATAAAATGCTAGTTTCATTTTACTTGGGAGCAACAATCATTTGAGGTTATCCTTATAGACCACCCTCTCTCTAATAAGAACAGCCGGTACCAGGTCTGCTTGAATTGATCCGTCTGTGCAAAGCGGTGTTAACTTATTTCCTAATCTTCTATTATTTTTTACGAAAACTTTTTCGCCTACCTCAAATACCCTGTTTTGTCTATTCGGGTTGGATCTTTCAATGCTTTCGTGCTGGCCTTTGCAATTTTATTTTTAATGGCCTGCCTGAGTTCGTTAGACGCTGCGTGTATTATATCGATGGGTTTTTGGTCTGTGACAGGGTGTATGGATCGGTTGTTCGCGATTGTTGCCCTTAGTATCAATTCGACTATATCGTCAGACATTTTTTGTATTCTAAATGCTCTCGCTATGTCTGCGAGTGTGCTGTCAAAACGTTCGATTTGGCCATTTGGGTAACTGTGTAGTGGTGGCGAGTTCACAATGTCGATGTCGTACCCGTTTTTTAATAGCGCCCTGATAGTTTCTGAATCAAAGAAGAAGCTTCGTTTTCGCAATAAATTGTGATCTGTGGAAATATCTTCAACAGCTGGATGATAGGCGGTTTTACATCAATTATTGGGCGAGAGTCCAGTGGTTGTACTACGGCAAATTTCGATAGTTTGTCAATGGAAGTAAGAAATATTTTTTTGTCAGATGAAAAGATATTAATGTGGAGTATTTCTCCAGTGTGTGATGGAATTGGTGTCTCACCAACTATTTGTTTTTTGGGATGCCTATCGTACTTTGCCTTAGTGCATATTTTGCAATTTGTTACTACTTTGTTCGTCAACTTCGTCATTTGTGGAAAATAATAATCGCGAGAGATGTGTTTAGTATTTTCCAGGGCGGGTCTGTGGGAGCGCTTACGTTCCGTGATGACAATTCCGAGTTGTTCATTTTTATCTGCAATGTCGACCATTATATTTTTGAAGTGCCAGAATTTGGTTGCCGGAAAATTTGAACCAAATCATGCTGTATACTGGGTAGTACTGGTAGATCTCAGTGTATTGCGTTTACCGCGTCTGTGTTGATGAGTGGCCTAATTGTTTCGAATTGGGTGTTTTTGGTCTGTGAAGTTTATAAGGTGGCGTATTTTTTGGCCAAAGAATATGCTAGCTCGTTTCAATGGGGATTTCGCTTCTTCAAGAAGAATTTGATTTTTGAAACAGTTGGCTTTTCAGTTGTTTTTATCGTGTAGGTGAATGACATTTCGCTGTGAATCATTGCAGCTTCTGACTGTATATCGTTTTGTAAGGCGTTTACATTTTGACGAAACATGGCATCCGCCACGTTATTTCCTTTGCCTGGTTTGTAGAACACTTCTGCGTTGTGTTCATCGATGAAGGCCTTCCATTGTTTGATTGCATTGCATTGATTGCATGATTTGCATTCGTGTCTCTATCTGATTCAGCAAAAGTAAAGGGCCTAAGAACAGTGGAAGTATTTATTTCTTTTGTACCATAGAAGTAATTTTGCAGTTTACCTAGAGCCCAGACAATAACTAACAACTCTCGCTCATTCCGGTTTTCCTCAAGGTCATCTTGGCCCGCTTCTCTTACTCTTTCCATCAATGACCTCCCCACTATCAAAGACAATATAAACACTAAGATGAGTAACGCCATCCAACAAAATGCTACTATGCAGCTTGATTTTTTGAAAATTGAGAACGAAAACGAAATCTGTAGCATTGCGCTCTCACAGCCGAGAGAACGAAAAAGCTAAAAATAGAATTTGGTTTCAGCTTCGGCGCTATGACGGCCGTGCAAGCAATTATGTTTGTATGCGTGTGAATATACGTACATAACAGCATATTTGAATGTGTTGTTATCCACTGCTCTGGCAAAGTCTCTGGCTGGCAAAAAAAAAATAAACAATTTTCTTAGTTTTTTAGCGCAGATCACGACCTACCCAAAATTTCTGTTGATATATGAATGCATTTCGTGTACTGAGGTTGGCTCCGTACAAAAAAATGTCTATTTTTAAGTCGATGCAAATATTTATGTAATTTGTTATATTTGAAGTTATTAATTAAACTATTATTATTTTTAAGTAATACAAAATAAATTAAGGAAATAAAAGTGCAAATTGTTTTCAAAGATACATTTAAATAACTTTAATTTTTTTTATTTTATTATTTTTTGTTCGAATTATAAAGAACAAAGTACGCAGGGAACAGCGCGAGGAGGCCATTTTAATTATAATGGGGTCATAACTAAATATGACCTTCGAGTCGACTTGAAATGTTATTGTATTTTTAACACTCTTTTATTTCTTAATTGGAGAATAAAAATAATATTAATTAAATTTAAAGAAATTTTGTAAATATTTGCATCGACTTAGAAATACAGATTTTCTGCGGAGCCAACCTCAGTACACAAAATGCATTCATATATCAACACAAATTTGGGATAGGTCATTATCTACGTAAGAAAACTAACAAAATTAATTTCTTGCCAGCTAAAGCCAAAGCAATGAATAACAACACATACATACATACTTTATAGTTCTTATGCAATACAACGAAAGGTGCACGCACGCTAATGGCTGAGACAAGAACTTTTCTCGAGCATACACTGTCCAAAAAGAAAAGTGAAATCAATCTATGTGTGCTATTTTCTTAACATAGTTATTGCGCAAGAAGCGCCTTGTGTAAAAATGATAAAAGTTCTTAAATGTACCTGTAAAATTATTTCTTAATATCAAGGGGAATATATCATTTAAATAAAGCATGCATTTCATGAATAAAGCACAAGCACTTTGCGTCGATCGTAAGTTCTAAGCTTTTTCGCTCAATGTACTTCGAAAACGAAGCAACGCAAAGCAGCATCGACCCGCTTTGCTGAAGGCAGGCTGGCGACTAACTTTGTAGCTCGTGTCAGCATCAGCAAGCCGCGACTTCGGCATTCGTTCGTCTGGTCTTTTTAGAACGAACAACCAGTCGGCAGGCATGCTGTACGAAGCCTCAAAGGCCAGATGAAACGCCAGGCTAGAAATTTTGCGTCGCATTCAAATGTATGGGCGTTACTCATCTTAGTGTTTATATTGTCTTTGCCACGATACTGTCTCGCTCTCGAGTATACATGTTTGCTGATGATGTATGATTATGCCTAGCATATAGATATATGGCATGATGCTATCTCTTGAAAGCTGACGTTGATGCGTTTCAGGTTTGGTGTCTAGCAAACCTTTTAAGCTTAAACTGCTCTAAATGTAAGGTATTGCTAACAGTATTTCTAATGAAGTTAATGATCTAGTTGTCATCCTGATCATAAACTTAAATTCACCTCTCATGTTAAGACTGTGGTCAATATTACAGAATAGTTATGGGTTTCATCAAACGGTGGTCTAGGGAGTTTGACGATCCGTACACAAGAAAAACATTTTATATATCTTTGATATGACCTTTTCTTGAGTATGCCTATGGTCAACACAAATATGCTATTCATCAGAACAGAATTGAATCGGTTTAGAAACAATTCTTGCTGTTTGCCCTTCGTGGTTTAAGCTGAAATCCTCGTGTGCGGCTACCGTCATACATTAACCTTTCTTCTTTGATTAATCGTAGAAGCATATTGGGTGTAATATTAATTAAAAAATTAATTACTGGTGAAATTCACTCTTCTGTGTTGACTAGTCAATCAAATTTCCTATCCCTAACTCGACTAACTCCTTTTGTACCCCTATCGCTTCAAATTTGCTCAACTAATTATGCTTTGCGTGAACCGTTAAGAGTTCTCTGCGATGACTTTTACAAGCATTACAGCGTATTCTGCTCGGAGTTTTCTCCTCCTTGTATAAAGTCTTCTATTCTAAACTATTTAGCAAGTAGATAGTCTTATTTTATTTGAAATTGTATTTGTACACATACTTCTACTCTGCGACTTTTTTTTTTACTTTTTTTTTATATTTACTTTGCATTTCGTAGGTCGGTTGGGCGGCAGGTGGGATGCAGTACTTTGCATCGGGATTCGCGGAAAAGAAAAAAACAAGAAGTAGTTAGTAAAATGAATATCCTTTTTGGTTTCAATAACTTTTTAAAGGCGTCTTGGTACTGAATCCATTACATTTTTAATAATCTCTGAAGATATCTCTTCCCAAAGAGAATTGACCTCAGAAAATAACTCATCTCTGGTTAAATCTAATAAATCTTTTGTTTTGCGTTTAAAAAGAGACCAGACGTTTTCTATAATAGTTAAATCTAGTCCTTGAGGTGGGCAGTCCAAAGTGGTAACACCAATATCCTTTAAAAATGTAGTAATCATCCGGTCTTTTTGGCTCGGGTCATTATCGTATTGCAGGATTAATGATTTCTCTATGATCACATTTCCAGGAGTAAATGCATTTTCATTAAGGCTATATCGACAGGGCTGTTGATGCTGATCAAGAATCTATATAATTGGGGTCGGAGATTTCTCCTTCTATGCGTTCGCATTTCACGAAAATATTATAATACCCTCTGCAAAGTTATAAAAAAAATATTAAGTGTGTTTGTGCATAATTGGCAACACTATCGGTTTGATTGTTCAACGTTCCGTATTCATTACTGCAAGGTAACACTGAACTTGTGAGTTTAACAGTTTTACAGAAATTTGGACCATAGGTAATTTCTATTTCTCTTCCGCTATTCTTCCGCTTCCCTTCTTTGCTATTGGGATCGAGTGGATGGACAACAACAATTTGTCTTACAATTGACTGTGACCAAATATTATTGTGCTCTTTAATTCGATTTATACATTTGGTCAGCAAGTGATCATTATTGCAAGGTAACACTGTTCTTATGAGTTATGCAACAACTGAAGCTTGGGTCGTTATATAGTTAGTTTGAGCATTGTCGGAATTGGAGAATTCTGCTTCCCTGTTTCACTGATAGTTATCATATAAGCGGTTAGGTCCGCGTTTAAAAATAAAACAATTTCAGTCAATCAGATACAACTTCTATGTAGACTGGAGTTACTTAAAGGGTATTTTGAAAAGATAATGGATATACAAGCTGACCTCGATATATTGAACCCTAGCAACGACTCTAGGCCAACAGTGAAAGAAGTGTGTATTTCTACAAAGGATTTATATTAATCGGCTTTTAAGAAGGAAGAACATCCTAGTCATCACGATTTAGCAGCGTCATTCAGTTATCATCATACGCTACAGTTTCCCAAAATGCGATAGCCAAAGTTCGGTGGAAAGCATTCAGAATTTAAAAACTTAATTTGTCCTTTTTAAAGTCTGCTGTACAATGATTTCACACTGTCCAATGTCGATTAATTTAACCATTTAATTGCTTGTCTGCTGAGGCGTTAGGAACAGTAAAGGCATTTCAAATCATAGACGGTTTCTCAACGATCTGAAATTCCTAACATGACAAAACCTTCGAACTTAAGTCTTAGTCACAATATTGGCATTTTATTCATCTCTGGAGTTTCTAGGCGATGACAAGGATATTGTAAGTGCAGTGTTAATGCACATGGCAATGTCAACAGTAGACCAGGAAACAAAATCTCGATTTGAGGAACAGCTTGACTATGATAGTTTGCCATCTTGATTAGATTGCGCTGCTCAATTGAATCGGCGCTATTAAGATTTACTGCCGAAGACTCAACTAGTGGCGAAACGAAACCAAGGCAAAGGGACATAACAGGTCATCGTTTTCGTAATCTAAGGGTGATCAGAAAACAGGTACCAAATGCAGCGAATGTTCGGTCGCTGATAGTCTCGCAAACTGTTTGGCGCTATACCTGTTTATCAACGCTTATGTTTGTGAAGCAACACAACTTGTGCATCAACTGTTTAAAACAGGAGCATACAGTAAAAAAGTGTGGAGGATCGAAACAGCTTCTCCACAGCAACAGGCTTATGGAAGTCATGTCCTTAGTGCCAAACAAGTAATCCTATCCAGAGCTGTAGCAAAGTTAAAAGATAAGTTAGGGCATTTCTAGCCCGCGATCGCGCTTTTAGATTCCGGATCGCAAGTAAACTTTATATCAGAGGACTTAGCACAACGATTACCTCTACGTCGTGATGATGCGTGATTGAAAATTGTCACAGTGCTATGAACATCAAAAACAAAGTCTACACAGCGGCTCAACCGCGATTGAATTTTCATACTTTGGTAGCTGATTTTTGGATTTGGGATATATACCAACCTGATTAGAAGATTCACTCCTCACAGTGGAATATACCTCCAAACATTGAACTGGCCGACCTCCGATTCCCCAAACCTGCAAAAGTGGACTTGCTTTTAGGTGCTGGAAAGCTTTTCGACCTGCTTTGTGTTGGCCAAATAAACATGTCTCCTCAACATCTGATTCAAAAAACATTTTTAGGATGGGCCGTGTCGAAAGGCACATCATCGCAAGCACAAATTGGCACTGTCGCAATTGATTTCGGGACTAAGAACAGACTCAGAGGAGTCGAAAGCTGCATATACAAGTTATTTGATTTCTCAATTGCAGATGTTGTATATTCAGTTTCTCGTCACAAGTGCTAAGATTGGCAAGGTTATATTCCTTGTAGATTATATTCGGAATGCAACTAGCTTTCCAAATCACTGGCCTTGTGGCTCAACAATGCAACAATTAGTATAACGGATTGATGACGGCAA